CCGTCGCCTGCCGCCAGCACCATAGTTCTTCTTTCGTTGCCACTTTTGCACTGGAGGCGGGTGCCCCCCTGCGCCTAAGGCAGGTACCCATTTATCTACTTGCTAGGCTTTCGAACTGCTGGGTAGTTGGGAGCTAGGACGAGGGCCGGGAGCTCACCCTGGCCACGGTGGGACTCGAACTGCCTAAGGCAGTTGATGAATTATCTTGCAGGCTTTTTTACTGCCTGCGCCACCGCTCCCTTCTTTCCTTTGCCTGTTTTTTGTGACTATACATGTATTTCATCATTATATTTAATAAATTTTATTTTATTTATAAAAAAGAAGGGAATTTGGTGCCGGGTGTAGATGGGATGCCGGCTTCACAAAGTGGGAAAAGGCCCCAACCATTATAATACAGGACGGGTTCGTCAGGGCTGACCCCCTTAATTCTTTCAGATCGTTTTTGCTCAAGCTGGGTTTCCGCAATAGAATATAAACTGGCACTTCTCTAGTGCTGCCCTTCTACACCTTGGATTTCAAGGAGCCAAAGCTGTTGTCAAACAAAGATTATGGGACACTTCTCTCCAAATGGACGGAGCACGAGCCTCACACCTTTTAGTGGTGAGAAATGAAAACCTAAAACTTGCTCCATCCAGGCCCCGGTCACACGGGCCGGATATTGCGGGGGGGAGGTGTGGCTGTTTGCCCCGGAACAAACAACCGCACGGCCGTGGAATCACACGTCCCGCTGACGTCCAGTGGTGGTGATGGGGAGCCCGGGGAGGTGCCGATCAGACGGTGTGGCAAAGAAGCAGCGCTGCCGTTGCAAACAGGTTTTTTTTTTAAATTTTAACCCAAGTATGCGCTTGCGCCGTTGGGTGCTTGTGCGCATCCTATGGAGACTTTTTTTTTAAAAAAACAAACCTTCGCGACGGGACATGGGCGGGCGCCGAATGCCACGGGATTCCACCGGAAACGCGATCAGGCGCCCACCCTTGCCCCGCGGTTTCCGGAAACTAGTACCTCCAAGGTACTAGTTTTTAGCTGTGCGTCTTCTACGGGAAGCCTCGGTTGAGCAACGGGAGCGCTACGCTTCCCAGATGTGCCGGTGAGATTGCACCCAGAAACTCCGCCTATCTTCCGTCCCTCTAGCGGTGGCTAATGCTCCGTGTGACCGGGGCCTCAGTTACCTTTATTCATTAGAACTCCCAAAGCACCGCAGATCCTTTACCTTAGCATGATTAAACGTTCTCCCATCTGCCCCATACGCAAGATGAGATATGCTCTATGCTCATGCCCCATACGCAAGCCGATTCCGTCCTTGTAATTCTGGACAGGTCGAAACAATTGAAAACGTTCTTTTATCTTGTCAATTTTATCACGAGATTCGTTCTAAATATATTACGCCAATAATCGTCACCTACCCAGGCGGGTCTTCTACTCTTCTTTTAGCTGATATTTGTAATGAAACTACTGCTAAGGCAGCAAGATTTTATGCTATGGCTAGAGATGTGAAGGCCCGGAAAAAAACTGGAAAAATTAGGGGGAAAACCGTCCCCCCCCCCATTTTCCCCCTGAAGCCTTTTTTGTTTTTTTCTGAAAAATTAAAAAAAGGGGGAAAAAATGATTATAGAACATTTTATTTTAACATGATGAATAAAATATTTTAAGACTAGGTGTTCAAATATTTTCCAAATCATTTCTAAAAAATATGTATGGTATCAGATTGATCTAATTTCTGTGCACTGAGGACAAGCAAGTCCTAGGTTACAAACTGAACTCTCCAATGCAAGAAAGAGATGCATTTCTTCCTTTAGGAGGTGCGATTGTCAGAAGAAAATAAAAAGGTTTCAGTTTTGTCTTTGCATGTGGGTGGGTATTCTGTTTGTAATAATTGTTAATAATTGTTTGGATACACTATATTTTTAATATGCTTAGTTGTATTCATTTCATGCCAAGTAAAAATGTCCATAGTCATATTTTATGTTCCTAAAGTATGACTTTCAATCTGGAAAAGAAAAAAGAAGTGCTAATGTATCATTTTTTCCAATTTACCCGAAAATTTCAGTTTTTTCCCGGAAAAAAAACGAGCTTCAAAATTTCCAGAAATTTTACATCTCTAGCAATGGCTGTCCTAACCAGACGGAAGACGATTACTTCTTAGGAAATTTTAAAATCCACGTCTAAACTAAATTTTTTACCTGTACCAACTGCCTGGATGTATCTCACTGAACTATATGTAACATTTTAAGGTATTTGCTGATCTCTGATCGTAATAAATCAAATTGATTGATTGATTGATTGAATACAGGACAGGGCTTCTAGTCTAGCAACAATTTTTTTTTTTTAATCGTGTTCTTCACAAGCCCGGGTCCCAAAATGCCTTAACCGTGACTGGCCTCTTCCCTCCCACTGCTGTCTCTCAGCCTCCAGGATCACACGGGATCAAGTGGAGCTGCGTCTGCACCAGCAGACGAAGCAGCGGACCCAGAGCGTCATGTGGGCCTGGATGAATCGCAACGCCTGCGTCTCCGACCTGCTCTGGATCCTTGAGGACTTGCAACTTTACCTGGCCCGTGATGTCATTGCCTCGTGTGAGTGCAGCGTGGTGCTTGGCTCCCGCGGAATGTTTATACGTTGCAGAAGTCAGGAGTCCCTCACTATCAAATTCTAGAAGAAGAAGAGATTGGATTTATACCCCACCCTTCACTACCCAAAGGTGTCTCAGAGCGGCTTACAAACTCCTTTCCCTTCCCCTCTTCACAACAGACACCCTGTGGGGTAGGTGGGGCTGAGAGAGCTCTTGACAGAAACTGCTCTTTTTCAAGAACAGCTCTGACAGAACTATGGCTTGCCCAAGGTCATCCAGCCAGGTGCAAGTGGAGGAGTGGGGAATCAAACCCGGTTCTCCCAGACTAGAGTCCGCGCACTTAACCACTACACCAAACTGGCTCTCACACCAAACTGGCTCTATATAGATAAGAGAATCTAAATAGATAAATTCTAAATAGATAAGAGAATCTGAAGCTAGATTCCTGGGACTCTCTGTGTCGACATACTGTAACCCAGCTTTCCTTGACCTTCCTGGCCCCAGAGACAGAAAGAACAGGCCAAGCTTCGTCGTG